GCGCGGCTCCTGGGGGAGATAAGGGGCCACGCACCGGCGAGCGGGGCGAGAGGGGAACTGGGGAGTGAAGCTCGCAACCAGCCTCGGCTCCAACTCGGAGCGCAGGGTTCCATCTCTAAAGTGTTTTCTAAAAGCAACAGCCTGGGAGAAAGGCGAAAGGGTGCCCAGAGCAGCACATTCGCCCCCCAAAACACCGATTCGGCCAAGCCCCAGCTCGGGGGGCGCAGAGCCCGGGGGGGCTCGTCCATCCCGACAGAGGGGGGGGAGATGAGAGCAGGGAAGTGGGGAGGGGTTGAGGTGCTGCTGCTGCTGCTCGGCCCCTGCCCGGGAGGAACCGGAGGCGGCTGGGCGCTGCGGAGGCAGCACAACCCGTTTGTGCATCGAACCCCCCGGGCGGCCGTGCTGCACCCCGACGGCAAATCCTGCCGGCTGCACGGAGGAGGCGTCACCAAAACCCACCCCCCCGAGCCAGCAGGGCCTCGGGTTTGTAGAACTCGCTGAAACGAAGGCGATCCGTCAGGAGACAACTTCCTCGGCTCCCAGTTAGTTATCCCAGGTACCTCCAGGCCGGATCGAGGTGTCTCTGGCAGCCCGGCCCAGGCACTCGCAGCTTCACTGACATTTAAGCAGCTCTGCCCTGGGTGAGGTTCTGTTTCCAGGTTGCTGCCGAGATGCCGGGGTGCCGGGCGCGATGGCCCATGGCCGGTTTCCAGCCGGGTTTCACCAGCCCCCCGGCTTGGCTCCACACCGTTCCTGCCCAGGACTCAGCAGCGCCGCGGCGAGCCGAGGGCAGGACCAGCTCGCGCCACAGGCAGCCAGGGACCCGTCTGAGAGCTTTCACGTTTACATGGGCAAGAAAGAAGCAAAGCAACCCCAGGGCACAGCGCTGGGATGGCAACCCGTCATCCCGGGCTCCCGGCCACAGCCAGTCCCTCCGGCATCCCAGCGGAGCACCAGACTCCCACCGCCACCCCTCGGCCCAGCACCCGCCAGGAAACGCTGACCCGCGCGCCCGGCACCAGCGTCAGGTTCCGGCACGTTCCTCCCCTCCAGCTCTCAAGTTGCTCAGGTGGAAAATTCAGTGCGGAGCAGCCCCGGCACATTTAATCCACCCTTTGTCTGTAAGCGGATCAGAGAACGGGGCACACCTGGACACCGGCAAAACACAGCCCCCCCCTGGAAACCGGGGCTGGGAGAAAGGCTGAGCCCATCCGCCCCGGGCCGGAGCGACGCAAGACACCTCTGCAGGCCTTTGCGTTAACTGGAAAGTAACAAACGCAAAATAAATTTATCCCATCAGAACCACATCACGGAATCGTGTTACAGGTGCGCGACCCGGTGAGGATTAAAAACCCACAATGCAAACGGCGCTTGAAATAAAACCCCTCCTGCCCATTATCATGGTGGTTGGGCAGCACCAAGTGACACCTGGAACACAAAGAAGAAATATTCTCGAGCAGGAAGAAATATTCTCGAGAAACAAACTGCCACAGCTGCAGGCGAGCGCGGGGGAGAGGATGGATTTGTCCCAGTGGCGACCACTGGCCCTGCTAAGAGCCGTCCCCCACCACACTCTAAAAAAAAAAAAACCCAAAAACAATGCAGACTTTTTTTTTTTTCTTTTTTTTTTTTTTTTTTTTCTTAAGCAGCATTAATACCTGCTTTGGGTCTGACTCAGCTAATCCGGGGCCGGCTGGTGTCGGAGGCCCTCGCAGCGGATCTGCAGCAAAGGACAGAGGCACCTTTAAGAGCCTAGAAACGGGGAGGACCTGGCACCGCGCTTCAGGGAAGATGTGGAGCAACGGGCAAAGGTCCAGAGGAGAAACAAAGACCCAGAGGTCTCGAGGAGGTGACCTACGGGAAACGCAGGGGAGGCCAAAACTGTTCAGTGGAGAGAAAAACCGATGGGAAAATAACCCCAAAATTGTTCGGTGGAGAAAGGACTGATGGGAAAGTGACCCGGGCGGACACAGAGGGACGCTGCTGAGGAGGGCGCGTGGTGCCGCCACCTCCGGGGAAGAGCTGAAACGGGGAGACAACGCCTGGATGTGGGAAGCCCCGCGCAGGCCGCAGAGCCTCCGGCACGGGCAGAGCTCGCGGGACACTTCCACAAGCCTTGCAGGGACGGCTGGGCCATCCTCCTCCTCCTCCTCCTCCTCCTCAAGTAACCCCGGGCCGGCTGATCTGGCTCCACCCGCAGCAGACGCCGAGTTCTCCGTGTTCACACACCGGCCCCGCGCTGGCAGCGGGAACGCGGCGCGAGCAATGCGGGACGGCTGCAGAAACGTCCCGTCTTCCCCGTGGCTGGGCTGCATCTGTTTTTTTTCACTAAAAAGGCTGGAAAGAGACGCGCAGCCGAAGGCTGGACGAGCCTGCAGGCCGAGGCCAGAGCCCACGCCGCAGGCAGCGCTCCACGGGGGCCTGCGAGCGTTGCAGCCTCCCCCGAGCCAGACAAACGACTTCTGGCTTTCACAGTCTGCAGTTTTTTTTATTTTTTTGAAGAGAGAAACAGAAGTTTCTCGGGAGGTGCAGCAGAAGCAGGTTCCCCACCCAGGGCTCGACGGCACGGACACAACGGCGTGAAGGGAATAAAGCAGCTCCCAGAGGGGCAGACGTGAGATTTTAACCTGTAAAATCTCCACTCTGAGAAAGTCTGGGGAACAAGCACCACGAGTCAGACATCTGCGGGTTTCCTGGACCAAGCAACTTGGAGATTAAAGTATCTTAAAGCAGTGAATCCCAGAATTTGCTGGAATTTACCCCGGACTTCCCAGCCACCCCCGCCCCGGCCAGCTCCAGGGAAGCAGCTTTTTGCAGGGGACCGCTGGTTTCAAACGGGAGGCAAGAACAGCCAGCACATAAAATAACAGAGGTCCAGGAAGGCCGCGGGGGCTCGTCGGAGGCCGGGGAAGTTCTTACGGCGCCTGGGGTACCCCCGCTGCCGTGCAGCGCTCGCAGCTCGCCTGGCCTCTGGAGCAAAAACGCGTTTCAAACGCTGCCAAGAGAAACTCCGCCGCGCTGCTTTCATCCATCATTTATGTAAAGCTTCGGTTTCCATTATTCAAGAAGCTGCAGGCAGCGCGAGCAGAGGCCTCGGCGCGTCCTGCTCTCCGCCGCCCGGTTGTTTTCCACCGAGCGGCCCGTGGGCAGAGACGCGAAAGATTCATTCATCCGCCAGCAAACGCCACGACCCCGGCTCCCGGCTGGGTTTTCACCCAAGAACTGCGGGGAGCAGGACAGGGCGGTTTTAACTTGAAACCAACCCGGACAACTGCTGCTTCGCACCTCCAAACCCTCCTCCAAATGCGTATCCAAAGGAGCCTTCCCCAAATCCGGCAGACGGGTGGAAGACCACGCAGCCCCCCCCCCCAAAGATTCACAGCCCCGGGCGGAGCTGAGGGAAAGGGGGAACATCTCAGGGGCAAGGCAGGAAAGCCAAGGAACACTCCACCGTTAGGAAAACAGTCACGAGATCTCGAATGTCTAGACGGAGCCGCGGGGAAGGCGGCTTTCCAGGTCTCATCCACACGAGGCACAGGGATGACCCAGAAACGGAGCTGCGTGAGCCCCCGCCGGGACCCAACCTCTGCTACTGTGGTTTTACGAGCCATTTCCGCGCCCGCCGAGCCATCCCCGCTGGAGAGGTGAACCACCTCCCCGGGGGAGTGTTTCAACTTCTTAACTCCTGGAAGAGACGCCGCTTTTCTCCGACTCGGTCAGCACTGCTCATAAAATCTGCGTTTAGCACCAGCTCACCTCCTCCGCCCTCCCCTCCCGCCCAGCGTTCCCACCTCAGCCCGGCCTTTCTCACCAGCTCAGGCTGATGCTCGCGCTAAAAAATCATCAGCCCTTCCAAACCAAGTGGCAAAATAAACCAATTCCCTTTCCAGCTCTTCTCCCCCCAGCCTTGCGTCCCCACCACCCGGGGTGCTGCCCATCCTTCTGCTCCGTCTCCGTGCCAGCAGATGTGCCAAGTGAAGCAGCGGCGTTTGCTCTGGGACAAACCCTGCTCTCCCGCGAGCGCCGGCGCAGCAGCTCAGCCCCAAAGCCAAAGCAACTTTGTGCCGACGGCTTTCTGACACTTAGACCAAACGCCGCAAAGCCCGCGGGAGCTGTTGGGGTTTGGCAGAGCCGAACCGCGCACACGCCCCTTCACCTGTTTCACTGCCGTTTGCTTTGGCATTAACCTGCGTCAGCGCCCAACCCTGGGAACTGGAAGCGTCCCCTTTGCTTCCAGCCCCTCCGGCAGGGAAAGCCCAGCTCTCCACCGTCGCGGAGACGCGGAAAGGCGACGGAAATCCAAAGCAGAGCTCGGCACGGGACGGCAGCCACGGACAAAGCTCGCAGCTGCAGCTCTCGGCCCTACGGCCAGCAGGGTGTGTGCACCAGAGGCTCGTTTTGGCCAGGGCACCGGGACGCCGGAGCTGACGGGATTCACCCCCTCCTGCTCCCAGCTGCCCAGGGCCTTTTCCACCCGCGAATAAACCTCATTGTTGCTAAACCTGAACAAGTCAGGACAAGGAGGAAATCAGGTTTCCAGCAGCGATCGGATGGCTGCAGATTGCAAAACGGAGGCACCGGCCGAGTTGCCCAAACCGTGTGGGAATCGAGCAGCGTAGGGAGGGACTCAGCCCTCCTGACCCAGCTTCCCGCCTTACCTCGGAGGCATCGAGCGCCCTCCCTCCCCCTCGCACCCAGAAACTTCCCCTCTGGAGCCCCGGCACCCCCGAGTGACCCCCTGGGAATCAAAACTTCAATCATTTGCAGCAACTAGCGACAAAAAAAGCTGCGGTAAAGGAGGAGCCACGAGGTGAGAACCAACCGCCCGAGCACGGCCCCGGGGCCATCCCTTCCCAGGCAGGCTGAGCCCCGGAGAGCCCTGGCTTTACCTCCTCCTCGCTCTCAACTTTGGGATTGCTGGCTGTGCGCTTCAGATTGCTGCTCAGGCTGATGGTAACGGTGGCGTCCGACTTGGACCTCTGGTGAGTCCTTTTGGAAGGAGACAGCCCCGTATCGGGCGCCGGGCTCAGCGACGGCAGCTCCCTCTTCTTGTAAGCTGGTTTCAACTCGTCCGAGAGGATGAGTTTCCGCAGCTTGGTCCCGCGGGAGTGTCGCTGAGTGGAGATGTGCATGTCCGAGGAGTAGGCGCCCAGCAGCAGGGCGCACTGCAGGGAGAAGTTGATGCTCTGCCGGCAGCGGTGCACGATGTAGGGCTTGATGGCATCCCCCACGTCCTCGTCCATGTGAATGTACATGTTCAGCAGCTGAGGCAGGTAGAAGTCCACTTCTTCGTTCCTAAAGCAGAACAACCTATTCCCAATGTAAGCCTGCACACCAGGTTCCTTTGAATTGTACAAGTATGAAATGGCCATGGAGATATCAAAGAGTTTGGATTCAAAGAGCCGGAGGAGCCAGGACTGCTTAGCAGAGTTATTCTTCTGCCGCTTCCGGGCGGTTTTCACCGTGTTGGCCGTGGTCTCGTCCTCCTCCTGGATCTTAGAGGCCGTGCCAGGCGGATCGTCCAAGCACTTGATTTCACAGCCCTCCCCAACGTCCCCGTTGGCCAAATCCACCGCGGTCCGTGGGGCTCGCTCGGCCTCGCCGCCATCGGCCGGTTTCAGTAAGCTGTCAGAGGAGACGCCGTGCATCAACTTGACCTTCTCCAGGACCTCTTCGCAGGCTTTCTTCGCCACCTCGGGATCGATGACCGCCAGCTCCCCAACGCCTTCCGTGATGACGCTGAGCGACGTCCCGCCATTCCCCTGCGGTGCCGAGCCGGGCGCCTGCTCCAAGCCTGTCCCTCGGGCTGGGTCTCCAACAGAGTCTCCCATAGCAGTGGCGGGTCTGCACACCTCAAAGCTGAAAAAAAAAAAAAAAAAAAAAAAAAAAAAAAAAGAGTCAGGGACACAACCTGAGGAGGAGACCTGCTGCCAGCCCGGAGGTGGGAACAGAGGAACCCATGCTGGGACACAGCTCAAGGGACACCGAGCGCCAAGGGCAGGGTTGGTGCAAACCTGTTCAAAAAGCTTTTCTCTGGAGGGGGAAGGCGTCCCAAGGCAACTCACGCAACATGAGCCAGGCCGGCGCAACGCCCGGCCGGTCCCACTGGGTTTTAAAGGTCTTCTCGGTGCCCCTTCCACCCAAGACTTGGGAGCTGTGAGCATCTATCAGCCCTTACACAAAATTTCCCCGTTACCATGACGATAAATAAAACTGAGCAAGCCAAAAAGAGAGAGAGAGAGGGGGGGGAAAAAAAAAAACCAAAAAAACCGAAACAGGTTGCTTTACAGTCTCTCCACCCCAACGGCGTTCTGCAACGCTTGGGCTTTGAGGGCCACAGGCTGGGCGGACCCAGCGGCCCTGCTCCTTGCGGAGATGATGAAGTTTATCTCGCGCTCAGCTTTGGCTCACTCAACCTCCCTTCGGGACGAAATCCTCCGCCGGTGCCGGGCGACGGGCGAGCAGAGAGCCGGAGCAGGAACCAAGTTTGTTGCAAGAAAGTCCCCGTTTTCAAAGTCCAGACACTACCGCCCCGATTCCGTCCCCTCACCGATGATCGGCACTTAACGACAGCTTAAAAATAAGATAAACGAGGGATTGAACGCGCTTCCCGCTTCCCCATCGCGATAAAAAGAGCAGCGGTGCCTCTCTATAGATAACCAGCAAGAATAAAGAAGGCCAGTGCCAAGTGAAATCGTCCTCTAAAAATAAAATAAGGCACTCTATTCAATCTAACATCATTACTGCGGCTCTGCCTGCTTCCCTTTATTGCTCACACGCTACAAGAAGACAGCTCGTGATCAGCAGAAGGGCACAATGCCTTTTACAAATGTTAAGCACTGCAAGCAGATTGCCAATTCCCTCCTGCTTTTCACGTCCAGCACGGTGGAAAAAAATCACTGTCTTTGGAAAAGCAGTTCACTGAACCCTTTTCTGCCCGTCAGTTCCCCCAACGACCCCCGGCCCCTGGTTTGCCCGCAGAGGCTGCGCTGGCGGGTTCTTACGACGAGATATTTCCCCGTTTTTAACGACCTTGATTTCTGTTTATTTTTACAGGCGGTCGCGGCTCCCGACGCGGGAGAAAGGGGCGAGGGAAACCCACGGCGCTTCTAAAAATTCCAAGCGAGGAGAAACGAGGTCAGTGTGTCCAGATGCGAGTGCCGCTTCCCAGAGACCGGTTTTCCTCCTCTTGTTTTCAAAGCACTTAAGCTCTAAGTACGAGGTGAAAAAAGCCCGAGCAAAGTTCAGCAGTCTGAGCCGCTGTGAATAGCATCTTTCACCCCGTCCGCACGGCAGCAACACACAACGTTGGCCTCTGTGCCTGCCATTCCCTTCGCTCCAAATCCCGCGTGCCTCAAATAGTTGTGGTCATTAGATCCTAAAGACCCTGCGAGCCGAAGGAAGTTCTTTTTCCTTCTTGGTGAGCCCAGCCTTGCCCCACAAAAATCCAGACGATCTAATTTTTAAATTAACACCACGCCGGCAAGGGGGAGATCCTCCGGCGTAACTCGGAGCGCGGGGGGATCTGAAGAGGCACGGAGAGGGGCCAGGTCCGAGGCAGAGTCGCAGAGAGCTCTGCTCGTGCCAACGTTCGCAACAGGACAACTGGGATGACAAACGGATGAAAAATTTGTAAAAAATTTACCGGTGGCATCCGCCGGAGCCCCAGAGGCGGCTCCGCAGCCACACGCTGGGCGCAGAAGCGCCTGCGATCGCCTGGTTGCCCTCAGAGGGCTCTTCCAAGCCCCGACTGGTTTATCCGCCGCAGGGAAACGCTCCCGACGTCCCCCTGGCTGGGCTGCAGAGCCCGCGGGGTCACCACAGACCTCCCTCGCCGACAGCACGGGGCGCGCAGGTGAAGCCGGGCGCAGCGCGATGGCGCGCGCCGCAGTTCCGGGCGTTACGTTAAACCTCCTCCACGTC